AAGAATAACCTTCATTAATACAATAATTGCCTTCTTTACAACAAGAACTACCTTCAATAATTACCTTCTTCACAACAAGAACTACCTTCATTAATACAATAATTACCTTCTTCACAACAAGAACTACCGTCATTCATACGAAATTGCCTTCTTTACAACAAGAACTACCGTCATTAATACAATAATTACCTTCTTTACAACAAGAACTACCTTCATTAATACAAAAATTACCTTCTTTACAACAAGAATAACCTTCATTAATACAATAATTACCTTCTTCACAACAAGAACTACCGTCATTCATACGAAATTGCCTTCTTTACAACAAGAACTACCTTCATTCATACGAAATTGCCTTCTTTACAACAAGAACTACCTTCATTCATACGAAATTGCCTTCTTTACAACAAGAATAACCTTCATTAATACAATAATTACCTTCTTCACAACAAGAACTACCGTCATTCATACGAAATTGCCTTCTTTACAACAAGAACTACCTTCATTAATACAATAATTACCTTCTTTATCAACAAGAACTACCTTCATTAATACAATAATTACCTTCTTTATCAACAAGAACCACCTTCATTAATACAATAATTACCTTCTTTATCAACAAGAACTACCTTCATTCATACGAAATTGCCTTCTTTAGGAAATTCGTGATTCTTTTATTATCATTACACATAATCAGACTTTCAAGTCTAAGATTATGTTACACATACTCTATAAAGCAGTAGTCCTGTGTTATGTAATCACGCGGATGTCAATGCTTCAAAACCATACCAAGACTCGTGAGAAAATGTGATAGGGAACATGAAAGAAACATTATAAGGGGGTTTGATTGCTACCTTAATTATTGCTTTCAGGTAAAATTATAGATATGTTATGAAGTAATGTTAATTTCTGAATGAGAGAACGGAATATAACCAGTTTTCTTCGCTACTATAAAAAATACCATGTGTCAACAGACAATGACATTTTTATCATTATTCTCGTACGGTATTGACAAGCACTCTATGGCTGTATAAGGTTTATGAGATTAACAGTTTCATGAATCTTACATGAAACGAAAAACTAACCTGATCCATTTTATCACGGATCAATATTTGGCAACATTGAAACAATCGTATCTCTCTTAGACCTGTCTCAACAAGTCTAAAACTGTGAAATCATAAATAGTGCTTCCAGTTTTGTTTTTATGCGTATTTGAAAATTTTCACGATCCATAGTTTCTCTCTAACCAGCCTTTAACAACTAGGGCCAGTAGGATTTAAAGTGAATGTTGATAACAGCACCGTTACTTGTGACTACAACGATTTCTGATAAATAAAATAAATGAAAATATTTCTCTAAATTGCAGACACACTTGCTCGTAAATCCACTTTCAAAGCAGCCATTATATTTCCGTGTTATATGGCCTCCATTATTTACCAATGCCTCCCATTAGGATCAGTCTCTAAATAAGAGTTCCAAATTTTAAACGGTAATTTATTTAGTTCCCTGGATTTGTGAGTATTGGTCATTAATCCGATATGACTAGCATGTGTCCCTTCAAACATTGTCACACCAGCGAAGACAAACACATCGACATAATAATGAAATCTAAAATCTTAATTCAATGAAACTTTGTCAAAATATGAACGAAAGAAAGATTTACACGGGCACTTCAGATCACGTGCAGGCAGTGTAAGACCAAGTATTCGGAAGGATTAACGGCTTATGCTTCGAGGAAGACCAATACTCTTTTTATTCTAATATGACCAGCATGTATCCCAGTAAAGACTACCGCTGTCAATGTTTTTTTTCTCTAATATTACTAGAAGGTACCAACGAAAACATTTCCATTGAGTGAGGACTCCAGTATCGTGTCTGTACTAATCTTTCTAGACTGTATCTCTGTAAACACTTACACATCAGTGACATGCTTGTCCCAATACCCTGTCTAAATTGGCATTTCTAGACTCTAAACACTTATTCTTCAGTGACAAGTTGATACAGGTATTTTTTATTTTTACCGACATTTCTAGACTGTATCTCTGCAAACACTAACTCTTCAGTGACAAGCTTGTCCCAATATCCTGTCTATACCGACATTGCTAGATTGTATCTTTGTAAAATCTTACTCTTCAGTGACAAGTTGATACAGGTATTTTTATCTATACCTACATTTCTAGACTGTATCTCTGTAAACACTTACTCTTCAGTGACAAGCTTGTCCCAATATCCTGTCTATACTGACATTTCTAGCCTGTATCTCTGTAAACACTTACTCTCCAGTGACAAGTTGGTACAGGTATTTTATCTACACCGACATTTCTAGCTTGTATCTCTGTAAACACTTGCTCTTCAGTGATATGTTTGTACCAATATCTTGTCTGTACTGATACTTCGAGACTGTATCTTTGTAAACACGTACACTCCAGTGACATGTGTGTACCAGAATCTTGTCAAAACTGACATTTCTAGACTGTATCTCTGTTAACACTTTTTATACTTCAGTGACATGTTTGTTTCAGTGAAGAGTTTGTCTTTGTACTGTTGGGTATGTTGATATCACTAGCATTGCATCAATATAAACACCCTGTTCCCTTGAAGTGTTTATCGTTATAAAGAGATATTTAAGTATTTCCAACGTATGTTTTTCAATCCAGTGTGTCATTGTGTATGGTGTTAAAGTGTTGTTTATTGTACTTAACAGGCACACACTTAGGATGCCGCTCGGTTCTAAACCGCGGCAATAGAAATCACATTATCGGAAGTGATAGCTAAATCCTCGCCACACTTGACTGTGAAAGTCGGTAAATAATGTGTCAAGGGACTGTATACATATTGACTGATTTGACGCTACATATATATGTGTATTCCCATTGATGAATGCTTTGGTTTTATAATAGGGTGTGGGTCGAATTCCGACCACTAGAAAAATATATCTTATTAATATTTCATAGCATTGTAATGTAGTAATCAAACATTTCTTCTGTTTGTATCGATCTGACGACATAAACAATGGTTGGCATAGAGGCAATTTCGGATTTATATACTAATGATGTTTTTTGTGGTTATAACATTGATGATTTTTGAGCAAGTACGTACCAGTGCATGTGAATGTATGTTGTTTATTACAACAAATACCACAAACTAATAAATAATAGAAACATTATTGTTGCTGTTAACAGAGATCAAAGACGCCATAATTACGAATATTCCAAATCTTCAAGCAGCCTCTGACTATTTATCCACGAGGAAGACACGCGAATACCCCAGGAAAAGAAGTTGTCTTCTGATAATGAAATGCCTTTAAAAGATAACCTATATGAACATATATGTCAGGCGTAGCCTGTAGGTGCTTATCTGTTGTATGTTGTTGTAGTCTAATGTTGCCTGTAGAGCGTAGGTTGTTGTCGGTGGTAGCAAAGGATTGGGTTATCTAGGATGGCCTGTTATGAGTGTATCTGGTAGATTGTACATTAGGATAGCCTGTATTTAAATGTCTATGGTAGTCTGTATAAAAATATATGCGGTAGTCTGTAATTGAGTGTTCACACATTCTGTTATGAGATTCTAAGGTTGTCTGTATATGAATATCTATGGTAGCCTACGGTTGGTAGTGACAAGCTTACCTGGGTTGTTCCATGTAAATGAAAATAAGATTGTAGTTATCATTAACCCAGTGCTAATAGAACCAATCATTAATTTGTTTATTCTCACTTAACGTTATCGGAATAATTCCGAGCACGTCTTGATAGTGTTGTAATGAGGCCTAATTGATAGGTTAACCAACACAGAATGTGATTTACGCACTTGATAGTGTTGATGGTATATAACCATTACATTGTCAAGTATACTATCATCTCTACCATATAACGGCCGAGGAGGTCCGCTGATCGATATTGTGAAAAAAGCGTGGGAACTCAATTAGTAGAATGAGTTACATGAAATACGGATAGACCGATGTAACATAACAGTGGTTTTTTTTCTGGTGGAGGGAGAATTGAAGCTACTATTATATCTGATAGTGATGCAAACCAAACAAACACAAACGTAAATATGGGATCTTGACGAGCCTCGGGCAAAATTAAAATGAAAACTATGTAACGGGTTTCGTAGAATAAAAATAAAATAAAAGCGAACCTAATAACAATAACATGAGTGGTTTTTTTTAAACAACTACATGATAAAAAATAAGTCCCCCTTAATATAGTGTCAAATAGGTGGGAATATTTTGAGTAGAAGATAGAATCTTTCTCATATCTTTATCAACCTGTGTTGCAAGTTATGCTGTTAGCAGTCAACATAGAAATCTATATATAAGAGCGATCTCTTGGGAACCGAATAAATTGCTGGACCAAATGGTACAAATTATTTTATAAACAAAACAACCATATATGTCATAAATATATATCATACAATAAATCTAATATGATTTGGCAATGGCACAATAAATGGCATCCAAATGTGAGCATAGAAGCATTTGTATTGTGGGCATAGAACTTGGCGGTTCCACTAATGCTCTCCACAACGATAATTTACTTTAGATTAAATAAGGTTATTATCGATATAAATAAGGTTATTATCAATATAAAAAGTTATTATCAATAAAAATAAGGTTATTATCAATGTAAATAAGGTTATTATCAATATAAATAAGGTTATTTTCAATATAAATAAGGTAATTATCAAAATAAGTCAGCAATACGCGAAGGGAATATCAATAAAAACATTGAAATGTCATGATATGGCATTTATTACCGTTATGACTGTCAGAGCTTTCTTATCATTTCTAATACAACGTTGATTTATCAATAACATATACCATAAAGTATTCATTATCAAAGTTAGACAACCTGAAGTTGCATATGTATTCAAATAGCCTAAATATTGTACAAGAGATAAAACATTGGGTGTTTCATAGAAAGTTGTTTAACTGATTAAGTTTAATATACTATACAACACTTTCACCAATGTCTTTAGCACACGTAACAGAAATGACCTACTTTTCCTGCTGCACTGTAAGATGCATGGCAAGACGATGACGTTTCTCCCCTACCCAAATCGCCTTGTCAATGACTTGGCTTGACAATCCTTCAGACCGCAGGATTTCTCGGACACAGGATGGCATCATAAAGTCCGGATCTGGATTTTCTAGGAATGGCTCATCGAACCTTTCTTTGATAGTTTCATTTCTTCTTACGTAGAAACGAATATCAACATCATCGTCTTCTGAGTCCGAATCAACAAAATCTTCTGGATCAGAATGGACTTCACTTTTCAGTAAAAAATGCTTAGGTTTGTCAAACACTTCTGCGATTTTGATTTTAGCAACGTTAGACATCTTCTCAGATGTTGTACTTGCTGACCTCAATAAAGTGTTACATTTAAGGACATATCCAGACACTATATACCTATCCTTCCAATAACAATTTCTGAAGAAGCGTGAATATTTTTATGATGTGCGAGAATAATGAAACCGTCATGGTTTATAACTGGCGTATCTGATTGCCATAATATCCTTTCCAGTGTACCACCACATCAACCTTGGGGCAACAAATCACCTGACTGCATACATATCATCCTCCCAGTACGACTGTGTGCTCCATGGTCGCTGCTCACCGGGTATCTATCTCACCTGGTAATGCCGACGGCGACTGGCTGGCTTTATAACACGACTTCATTACATCACATATCACAAGGGACTCAGAATCACATATGAAGTCTGATTAAAACATTTTTTCTCATACACACCCAGACTCAACTGAAGGGACTGATCGTGCACGCAATGTCTCTGGGTGGAGATTTCCAAACAAAGGACGCGGGTATGTTTCGACACCGTTTGGTCTCTACGGACACCAGTAGAGTACGGATATCTCAAGTACGGTGATATCGACATGTGATGTTCATTCGTTATTGTTTTAGTCTAATAACAAATCAAATATTAGCATGGAAATACGGGTAAATATCATGTTTAAACATTATTATCCTGTCAATGTCGTTGATGGGACTAATTAATAAATAAAGGTTATTGTGAGTTTGAACGGCGGTAATCGATAGTAATGAAAGAGGTGTGTTATGGCCTGTAGAGATCAGAGGGAAGACCCAGGTAGAATCCGAAGGTAGATCCATTAATAGCACAACAGTCTGTAGTATACATTATTGAACACCCGTCCCTAATCAACGCCGTGTATATATATACGTCGCTGTATTGGTTTATATACCCAGGTAATATACTCGATGTCTGTTTCATCCCAGGACGTTTGCCTTCTGTTGGTTTGTAAGACCTTGGTGTTATTACCATTATGACCAAATGAGGGTGAGAAATTATCCACAACAGATAAAATGTGTAAGGATGTTTGTAAGAACTATGTCTCTTACACATTCTGTCATACAAAACGCGTTCGAAAACATATTAACAGTGAATTTTCATACACCATTACAGTAGGAAAAGTACTGCTTCACGTTCATTACCAACTCTTAGGACGAATGCCTATACAGTATACAAGTTATGAATTCGTAATGATCAAAAACTGAAAGGACGACATGAACAATCGGTTCACACAGTAGTAAATAACCATACTGTAATAATGGCATGTAGCCCCGTATCTGTGTCATGTGTGGGCTTTGATGTATTTTGTAAAATGATTTGCTTACATCAATGTATTTATAACTGTAATCACACCTGGTCAAAATACCCCTTTTTATAGGTTTGAAGGTGTCGGACGTTAAAAGCCTTTAATTTTTCATTCTCGTTTTCTTTAATTTCTAGAAAAACATAATTCATACAACGGCTGTTGACCGTAGAAAACTGTATTGGTCGGTTTTTTGTTCGAAAATGAGATGCCAATGGTTGCGTTACGAGAGATTGCGGTTCGTAATAAAACTACGATTCATCGAAACTTCCATTTATAAAACTCCGATTCGTAAAGGCGTCAGAAGCATTAGTTAGGAATGAAATTCGGAACCGGGCAAAACATTCGATAGATCGAGAAAATGTCATCGCAGCCCCATCAAAGAAGTTTGATCGGCATTGACTAGATAGTCCAATGGTAATGGAGAATATCGATATGAATATTTCAGGAGAAATTAATTAAACAATACTGTTAGGATTTATCGTTTTTTTCCTCCGGTTTCTCATATATTGTCAATGAACATAATCAACAGATGATGACTGTTGTTCACATAGCTTATATATACGATATAGAAACATGTAATGGTATTTTGTAAACAAAATGAGTGAACATATCCGTGATGCTCATATATCATTTATGACAACGCGTCTAACAAAGCAAAAATGGTTTACTTTGTCGATAGAATTTACAAAAGATATACAAGAGAATAACACTTCAATACATTAAGAATAAGAGCAAAAGCGAATAAGGAATATAGGTCTTGTCAGTGATGCAAAGTCCCTACATTGGTGAAACCTATTAACTTAGGACACGACTGACTAACATCCCAATTGGTCGAATAAAACCCAGAAGTGGAGGTGTACTAACCCCAATTAACTTTCAACAAATTCCATCATTGTCAACAATGAATTATTTCAAAAGAATGACAAGCACATAATAGATTAGTATATGCCAAGGTTTTTTTTCCACCAGAACATTGAGACTGGACAAACGTGTAAGAAAGGGTTTCAAAAGATTGAGATTGATGAGAAATATGGGGAGCTTTACGGTCGCCATAGTGATCTCATTGAGAAATATTCTATTTCTTTGAGCGATATGAAGCTGGACGTGTTTAATGCTCGTAAGTTTGTCTGTTTGTTCCACAGTTGCAAACCTTGTTTTTTATTTGAGAATATAACATTACTTACTTGGATTGATCAATGTTTAGATTGTGGCTTTTTTCGATGAAGCAGAAGACGCTTACTCTTCCGGAACACCTAGTCTTATTCTTCTTGTACTTCATGTAAATATTTCATTTGTTTAAATGTTACCGTAGTGTATTGAAACTGAGATTGGATTATCATTATGTTGACATGATGGTATTTTCTTAGTTTTTGTGATCTTCTGACGCACGGAAGCAGCTATGTACATATTTGACACCTCATTTTTATCCACTTTTGTTTAGAAATTATTTATATTTGCATGGATAAAACATCGCTTATCAAACAAAGGACACAAGAAAAAAAAATGTTCACAACTTGATGATATTTTAATTAAAAACACATTTTCTCATTTTTTGTCGGTTTTAGGGTTCAAGTGATAGTACATTACATGTATGGAGCGTAGAAAAGCAACAGACACGTCAAGAGTTTTTGGGCAAATGTAGCTTTTGTATAATCTTTTACACACACAAACCTAATAACGTCTAAGCTAGATAACGTGGTCTTACGCGTTGCCACTTGAAGTTATACAATTACTAGTTTCATCGGTTAAACTTATGTATGGTAAAGACTGTCAACTATTATACATTAAGTGTAGAAATAGTCATATTAAAAGTAGGTGTTATCAACTGAGAGTTAGGTACAGTAGAGCCGAATCGTCAAGTAATCTGCATCATACGGTTCTTAAGTAAAACGATCTCAGTAACATGTGGTGCTTAATTGTATATTAACAAGTAACAGGTGGACACGGTTGGTTTTCGATTGAAGTTATAACTAATTTGTGCAATACTATACTTGTAAAAGAGCTTTGTTTCTCAAACTTTACGGTTCAGTTAACATTACTGTTCATACAATAATAACACCTATATTACATAAGTCGCCATTTTCATTATGTTGTAACAGAGACGAATGGTCCAAACATAGCCCTAGAAGAGTATCATTCTCATAGAAAAATATCCGAGACCGATCCTAATTCCTCTTTCAAACCAAAATTCTATTTCTACATAACGAATATGTTTACACGTCTTAAGATACACACAAATTGTTAGTTTCAATCATCACATCCTCAGTCTGTTTTAAAATCCTCTAATCAAAGTTTCTGAATGCATAATAATGAAATGTATATTAGTGATTATCGGAAAGTAAGTAACCACTTGTTTCGGACTAATACATGCATATGGTAACATATTTTCTATCAACACCTAAAACACTCTTTTATCTGATTCCGATTCTATTTACCTTGCAACTTCCCACGACGCATAAATGTTAGAAATAAGCAATAAAGGCAATGAAGAATAGTAAAAAATCAGTATTAAAGAAGCAGGTATTCCAGACGAAACATATCAATGTTTCGCCAAATTTATATAGATATATCCAGAGTATACCTTGCTCTCAAATCAGAACTAGGTACATGGTACATCTTAATCATCAGACATATTAGTAGACATAAAACAAATACGGACAGAATCTTCATACAAACTCATATCAGGTAAAACTATGGCAAACTAAGAACAAAAGGATGACTTACACGAATACCCCTAAAAATGATAAAGGGGGAACAAGACCACGTGTTTCATGTAAATCTTTGTCAATCCAGGTAAATTATGCCAAGTTTCCAAATAATACAGTGTAAACGCCAAGAAAACCAACAGACATATCAGTGAATATTAAACACTTCCAACTTCTTATCGCGTATGGAAATACAACGTTTCATTACGACGACTGAAAAACTTCCTAATAATACTCATCATTCTGCATTCTGGAACGCTGTGTTGTGAGTTTGTCAGTTGTTGACATCTTACATGACAGTCGTGATACTGAATTGATCAATCATTTGATCTTGATTGAGACCATAAAAGCCATGATCAACCAGCTTCACTCAAAACCCTGTATTGTAAATAGTTGACATCTCTCACAAAAACCGTAATACTTGAAACATTCCCTTGAATATGGAAACCCACCTTTAAATAGTTTTTACTTATTAATAGAAATCTCACAATCGCTATATCGAAACTATCACGCTTGTCTTGAAACTTGGAGTAATGCTGTTCATGTTTATTACGTTGTACATAAGTATTGAGATATAATAGTTTGTCTTGTTTTTTTATGTCCAATTCTGAAAGGTTAACCCGATTGACACATTTTTTTAAAAGGTAGGGCATCGTCAATACTTCTTAAGAAAGTTACCTACGTAAATATTTTAACATATTTACATAATTGTCACACATACCTCTTTGGTGGCTTGAGTGATGGTAACAACAGAGCTGGCCGCTGATGATAGTTGTGTCTTGAAAAGTTGCTGTCAATAAACGAAAAGAAGTTAAGCAAGCTAGTATCGTTAAAAGTCACTACGGAGTGTCTACATTAAGCTAGCTGTGGTGGTGGCTCGTGGGAGACCAATGCTACAATATATGTCCTGGTGATAACAAGATTGTATATAATTCAACAACGAGTTATAGATGCCGGGTGCATGATCATGGTCAATATATGCGTGTTTAAATCACTTATTC